GCAGGGGCCGAAAACATCTATTCACAGTATTAGCATAATCCTTCACGAACATTGCAATTTTGTTACGGCAAACCAACTCTAAACATGGAATGGCATGCGTCCGAAATTCCTCTGAAAAAAAACATTAAGCTTTAGACCCAAGTAGCAACGCACCAGATCTGCTTGTGCGATCATGCTTTTTTCGCGCGATTCTATCTTAGAAAGGTTGCCTGCTTTTGCCTACGCATGGGACTTCGCTTACATGGACGACAAAAATCCTTAGAAAATCCTGCTTCGTGCTCATTTTTGTTACCGAGTTAATTGGATGCCAATACTATCCCAAGCTAAACTTCCATTTGTGTGCACGAAAGATTCAAGCGTGCTTTAAAGCTGAATTCAAAACATTTCGGTCGCAAATTGGTACCGAACGCGCAACACAAGCGAACGCCAAGGCCCATTTTACTCTTAGATGTCCGTGTATGGAAAACAGATATTATCCTAAAATAAAAGCGCTTTACTGGCTTAGTTTCCCAGCTGGCATCTTGTTTACGATGCCTCAATCTTGACTTTGATGTCCGCACATGTGGCTTAAGAGCACGTTAAAGTGAGCTGAATTCTTTAGTTCATACGCGGGTATAGACGGCGCAGGAAATGGACATTGATGAGACTTAATATTTGCACCGAAAAAACAAAAATTATTGACGACGAGCACCAGGCGGGCCCATACGATTATACGTTTTTGCAGTATTTCGTGCTGTGGTGAGATCGCTTGGAATTTCAGTAGCTAGAATTTATGATACAATTGCCCTCGAAGTTCAGGACGCTAGTTGTGCAATTGGGAATTTCAGAGTTCCAGATTTTCTGGTTCTCAAGTTAGCGATTTTCCCGCCAAAAATTTCACATACTCGTGCGCGAGGCCCAGACGTATGTGAAGGTTGATACCACGGTCCTGAGATGGCACTTGGTCGAGTAACCTACTGGCAAAATTTAGCGTCGGAGCTTGCCCAGACAAACACACACACATACATACACACACACACACATGTACACACACACACATACAGACACATACACAAAGGTCGATTTTTTGAAATCGCTTGGCAATTCAAAAAATTTTTACTTGTAACGTCACGTCCATGAAATAATTCAGTAAACGGGAGGTAAAAATCAAACTGGAATAACGAAGGATTAAAATTTCCAGAGATCATTAATATTCCGCTGTCATGTTAACATAATTCTTCACTAGCACTGCAGCTTTTTTCCGTAAAAAAATCAATTTTAGGAATGAATCTAGATTTGCAACCAGAATTCCTCCGAAATCAAACCATAAAT